GACTATTAGTTGATAGCGAAGAGTTAATAATTTGCAGCTATCTAGTAAGTGGGTTTCTGCACCCCTGATGTGGTAATTTTAATTAAGAATGACTTGTTTGGCACACATTAGCAATTGATGATGGTCATCTATACAGGTAATTCTGGACTTACGACCACAACTGAGCCTAATTTTTTATGCCCAATTTTATGCCCAATTTTTTTTGCCCCATTTTATGACTTTTCTTGCCACACTTAAGTGAATCACTGCAGCTGACAGATTAGTAATCTGGCTGTTAAAGTGAATCTGGTTTCTCCATTACTTTGTTTGTCCAAAGGTCGCAAAAGGTGATCACACAACCCTGTGACACAGCAAAAGGTCATAAATATGAACCAGTTGCCAAGAATTTGAATTTTGATCACATGATCATGGGGATGCACCAAAGGCCACAACTAAAAAAAATGGTTGTAAGTCACATTTTTCAGTGCCATTGTAACTTTAAATGGTCACTAAATGAACTGTTGGAAGCCAAGGACTTCCTATATTCTGTAAAATACTTTACTAATTTTTGAATATTTGGTTTCTGTCCCTGAGAAGAGAGACTAAGAGGGGACAGACAAGATTAGGGCATTCTTTTCTAGTAATCAAAACACTAATATTTAGCTAAATATGTTGGGAAATGATACAACAAAGATGCTAGTAATAGCATCTGAAATAAGCTAGTTATAGCATCTGAAATAAACTATGTCTAAAAAAACCAGAAATAACACTCAGTGCAGTTAAATAAACCAAGCATTTCTGGGTGTGTTAACTGTAGCTTGAGAGCCATCAAGGCCTCAGACTAGAAACTGGGAGACCATGAGTTCTAGTCTTATCTTAAGGAATAAAGCCAGCTGGGTGACCTTGGCCTAGCTGCTTACTTTTAGCCCTAGGAAGGAGGCAATGGCAAACCAGTTTTGAAAACCTTGTCAAGAAAATTGTGGAAATCTGTCCAGACAGCTCTGAGAATTGTGCATGATTGAAAACAACTATAATTTATGTCATCATCACCACTCATCCCCTTTTCCCAAATATTTAACTGAAAGAGGGTCTGTTAATGGTAATAATACAGATGATGTATATAGTTGTTTGCTATAATGTCAGATGTAATAATTATATGTAATTTATTAAACTTGTATGTTACCTGACTCTCAATGAGTCTGAACAACTTGCAATAATCAAACCTCCTCATTCATTTGTGTAGTCCCATCAGATGGTCTGATGATATTACTTCATGTATCTGTCATCTCGGGGAGCACTTATGGAAAAATATTCCACAGACATAACCAAGAATGAAGAGTCCCAGTTGTAAAATTCGATGACAAGACTAGGCTCTGCCCAACTCTAGGGTGATTATTTGTGTTTTATTCAGTGACTTTGATTAAAATGATTTAAAAAATACATTGGCTAACTCCAGCCAAGAAAATAAACAAGCTTGTAGGTACATATTCCAAACGAGTAGTCCATTTATAAAAGATATGTGTCTACAAAATCTTTTCTAATACATTAATCATTAATAATAAACAGCCTGCTTTGTAATCCATCATTTGCTTACAGTAACAGATATTATTGTTTCACTCCTTTGGGACTTGTTAAGTCTACTTGAATGTCTTGTAGGATGAAGTCACAAGAGAAGGTATTATTTGTTGTGTAGTGTAAAAGTTTAGGTTCCTAATATGGATGTTTCTAACTGTACAAATGTAAGCAATACTTCAACATTTCCAAAAAGGGTTGCCATGTTCCTCTGTACATGTATGTTTGCTATATATAGTATAAAAAGTATAAAATAGTATATAAATAGTATAAAATAATGAACAATGAACAGATAGTATCTTCTTAAATAATTAATCTTAATTACTGTTCTACAACTTTGAATATTAGGTTCTATTTAGTGTTCTGTTCTCTAAAATGTACACAAAAAGGGCATTTCAATTTTGAAATGAGTTCAAATATTATTAATCCCAAACAAGTTTGTGGAGTCTTCAAACTTGACAGCTTTAAGACTTGTGGACTTCAATTCCCATAATTCTTCCTCCAGTCATGTTAGCTCAAGAATTCTGGGAGTTGAAGTCCACAAGTCTTAAACTTGCCAAGTTTGAAGACCCTTGTGTTAGAACATAATTCTAGAATTAGAAAGTCAAATTAGAACTAAATCAGTCATTTGTAATACATTGATCAATAAAACAGCACTCCAAAGTATAGTAAGAGTAGGGCTTACTGATCCCAACTCACAGAAATATTATAAGAATTAAATATATATCACCTAAAGTTTGAGAAGAATAGTTGATTAAAAAAAGATAAAACAAATGCAGCTGCAATCCTGTGTCAATTAACTGAGAATAGCTAATGGATCAAAACAGAATTCATTGTAGAACACAATATAATCAGTTCTGATTCTGAATAAATAAACACTGAATTCCCAACAGTAGTGTTACGAAGGGCATTTCTTGAGGTAAAAGTTTTCCCCTGGATTTATGGAAAATCAAACTGATCTGTGGGAGGCATTTTCTTCCCCAAAATCAGAAATACAGCATTGAGATTGACATTGACACAATGTCTTATTTCTCAGTGAGAAATGCAAATAGTTGTGGTACTGTTGGAGCAAAAAACGTTGCATTATTCATCAAGTGGATGGCCTAAGTCTTATCAATGCAATATCACTATGCCCATTTGCTTCCATTATATCTTCCCCCCACCCTAATGTCACACTTATTGTATAATCAATCTGTAGTACTGTAGGTTGGGTCTTCCCTTAAAAAAAGGGGGGGGGAATTAAATTCCCATTAAACTTCCAGTGTCTAATTCTCTGGATGAACTGATTTCAAGCCCCATCGTGCCCAGCCAGCAATTGTCATGCACTGGGGATGATGGAAGTAGTGCTGGGGGATGCATTCCGACCCACTCGTTGGAAGGATGTGTGTGTGTGTGAGAGAGAGAGAGGGGGGGGAGACGACTCGGGCACTTTAGCACACCAGGAGGAACAGCCAGGTTGCTACGCCGCCTCGCAACTCCCAGCTATCCTGTGCCCCCGCAGGCCGCCTTTCCTCCCCTTCCCACGCAGCCGCCACCGGAGAGACGGAATCCCTGCAATGGCGACCCTTGAGGATGGATGGGGGGGGGGGAGAGCCCCGGGGACGATGCCCGGCTGCTCGCTGGCTGCCATTCCGGACAAGCGCTCCGGCTTCCTGCTGCCGCTGCTGCCGCTGCCGCCGCCGCCGCCGCGCGTGAACCCGGTCCGCGGAGGGAAGCGACCCTCCGCCACTGCCGGCCTGCAGCCCAGCGGCCCGTTCCTGCCTGCCCCACCCCGTGCCCCGTACTCAGCTCTTGACTTTGCCGAAGGTGCCGACCCCCAGCGTGTCCCCCAGCACGTAGTGGCCGATCTTCACCCTCCCGTCGTGCTTCGGCGGCTGCTTCAGCTCAGCCATCTTCGCTTGGCTCGGCTCCGCTCTCGCCGCCGCCGCCGCCGGTCCGGCCGAACCACAATGCAGCAGGGCCGGGAAGGGAGGCGAGACGGAGACAGGCGGCGGGATCGGAGGCACCGACGAAGTGGGGGAAGGGGGGGGGAAATGGACAGGTGAGTAAGGAGATGGGGGTGGTGGTGTCGGCGAAGGGAGTTGGCTCCGGAATATGGGTCCAAACAAGTAAACCACTCTAAGGAACGTCTCCAGCTTGGCGTGCATTCGGCATAAACCCAACAGATTCATGATCGGGGTGCTATGAGGCAGTGAGGAAAATGTGGTACACGGGGCATGGCATAGTAATAATTTTATTATTTCTCCGAGTTAAAAGCTGAAGAGAAATGGTGGTAGCGGTAGGACTACGGTATCAAACATGAATGCAAAACTTTTAGAGGGTCACTGGATGGCAGCAAAGAGATTAAAGAAACCCTTAAGTCCTTTGCTGCCAGCTATCGGTTGTCCAGATCGTTGCAGTTCACATTGATTAGTGCTTTTCGGTAAGGAATACATGTGGGGATTCTTTTCCTAAATTCGTGTTTGAGACTGTATGAGGCAGGATATTTTTTAAGCACCGTGAAGACCCACATGGTAGCAGATTATAGTGAAAGATCTCTGCAAGGTAGCATGCAAAAACTCAGAATAATGCCAAGAAATATTTGAAGCTGGAAATCAAACATCAGAATAAGATGATCGCAGACTGAGTAGATGACCTTCCAGGGGCTGAACGACATATTAAGTGTTCATAGAATCACAGAGTTGGAAGGGGTAATTTAGCTTATCAAGTCTAATCCCTGGCTGGGCAAGGAATTCAAATTAAAGCATTCCTGACAGATGGCTTCATAGCCTTTGTTTGAACATGGCGGGGGTCAGGGGAGCTCACTATCTCTCTGGATAATTGGAATCTGCTGTAATTTCAGCAAAGGACCCTAGGACGCTTTGATTCACCTGTGGGTTTGATGAGATGACAGTTAAATGAATACGTAGCTCTTTCGAAAAGTCATATTGAAAAGGTGCTCATCAATAGGTCCCCACAAGACTGGAGAGGAGTATCAAGGGGGCTACCAAAACATTGAAGAATAGAAGCTGGTGCCTCTATTCTTCAATATTTGCATTAATAAATTGGATAAAAAGATGGCCAAATCACTTTTCCAATTAGCATGGGGTAAGATACAAAATTGGGCAGGTCCTGGAAGAGTGAAATGTTTCTATGTGGAAGATTTGATGGGATAGGCTACGTATTTCTTAAATGATTTCTTTAATGTCATGGATTTTGTTCCCACTGAAGATCCTGAAAAGAAACAGCTGTTAAATACATAATAAAGAAATCATGTTAATAGTAACTTTTGTTCATATTTCCATTGAATGAGCTGCTTATGCAATTTTACCATACGCCATATATCACTTGCTTGTGATGCACACATAAAGTGCATTAATGTATATATTTGAAATTTTCATAAGAAACTGAAGCTTTTCAGGTTTTCTTATACCCAGGCAGATACAGCCTAGGCATTTTTACTCCTTTGCTTGGATGACAGTCCTAAGATCATGTTCCTAGGTTAATGATGGATATTTTATACTCTGGATTAATTATATGTCTTCATGAGCATAGCCAAGCCAACTAAAAATCAAGGGACAAATAGCTGCCAAATCAAATACAGTTAGTCCTCAACTAAAATTCATTCATTCAACGACCATTCAAAGTTACGGCAGACATGAAAAACGGGATTATGACTGGTCCTCAAAATTTTGGCTATTGCTGCTCCGCCATGGTCAAAATAATCAAGATCTGGTGACCACTCGTGATTATGATGTCACAATGAGCTACAGTCATGGGATCTCCATTTGTGACTATCCTACCGACTTCCCATAAGGAAAGTCATTGGGAAGTTGGCAGGGAATGTCACAAGTTGCTCCAGTAAGTCAGTCTCCCCTACTGGCCTGCCCACCTGCCTTCCCTAGGCATGCCAGCCAGCAGCTGCCCTGATTAGTGCACACAGCCTCTCCAACTCTCACCCTGAAGATAACTTTTTCCCAAACTGAAGTCAGTTATATTTTGTGGGGTTACATCATCCCCAGATTTTATTATTATAATAATAATAGGAAAAAGGTGACAAAAATGATGCATTGGAATTTATGTACAGGTCAACCTTCCTTAATGACAGTCATTGGGACTAGAATTCCCATCGTTAAGATATGTGTCCTCGCAGTCCCCATTGCCATTGTTAAGCAAGGATCACAAGTTCTTAAGTGAGAATCTCACGTGACTACAATTTGCTACTCCCCGCCAACTTATAGCAAGCAAAGTCAATGGGGAAACCAGCAGGAAGTTGCAAGTCCCTGGCAGATCACAAGCAAGTCAGTAGTAGACTTGGGCAGGTTGGCTGCTGCAGAGTGAAGGAGGGCGCCCAGATGGCTGGCTTGGTGTGAACACAGCCCAGCGAGGGCTAGCTGCTGAAGCTCAGTGTGAGTCAGCTAGGTGCGTTGGCATGCACTATGGCATGTGAGTGGGGGTGTGCTGTGGCCAGGCCGTGATACAGAATACACGAGATATCATCAACTATAGCATATCATCAGCTCTTTGGAAGAAAAAGCAGCAGTGACTTACAGAAGCAACTTGCAACTTTCCTTATCAGCTTCCTTTAAGTGTTGTACCTTCTGGAAAGCTGGCAGGGAGATCACAAATGGAAATCACATAATGGAGGCTATAATCATTGTAAGTGTGAGCCAAGTGCAAAGCACCTGGATCACCATAACGTGACTGGGCTTGCATCGTAACTTCAAGAATGGATTGTAAATATCATTTGTTCAGCCCTGATAACATTTTGAACAGTTGCTAAATGAGTGGCCATTAACCAAGGCTCCCTGTAAAAGATATGGATTTGATGTCCCCCAAATATTACATCATCCTGATGTCAAAAAATAATTCCCTCAACACTGTCAAACTATTTACTAAATCTGCCTTACTATTACTGTTAATCCTCCCATCCTTCCTTTCACCCATCTCTTCCCACTTATGACCGTATGACTGTAACCTTGTTGCTTGTATCCTAACAATTTTATTGACTGTTTCCTAGTATGATTTGATTGCTTATTGTACCCTGTGACTCTTATTAAGTGTTGTACCTTAAGATTCTTGACTAATGTATCTTTTCTTTTATGTACACTGAGAGCATTTGCACCAAGACAAATTCCTTGTGTGTCCAATCACACATGGCCAATAAAGAATTCTATCACCTAAACTGGCCGTTGTATCAAAAAAAAGGAGATAAGATTGGTTTGGCATGATATATCCAATCATACTAATTCTTCGAGCAGTGCATTCTTTTCTAAGTAACAATAGTCACAAACTCAGTGCTTAATTTGTTTCAGAGGTTTGCCCACTACCAACATTAATACATATATCCACATCAAGCTTGATTCCTGATGGTCTATCTATAATATGGTTGCTAGGAGTTGACATGATAGCAGTATTACAGTATTTGCGGGGCTGCCACAAAGAAGAGGAGGTCAACTTATTTCGCAAAGCACCAGAAGGCAAGACAAGAAACAACGAATGGAAACTAATCAAGGAGAGAAGCAACCTGGGATTAAGGAGGAACTTCATAACAGTGAGAATAATTAACCAATGGAACAGCTTGCCTTCAGAAGTTGTGGATGCTTCATTGCTGGAGATTTTTAATAAGAGACTGGACAGCCACTTAACACAAATTGTATAGAATCTCCTGCTTGAGGAATAAAAGACCTCCAAAGTCCCTTTCAACTCTATTCTGATTTATTGAGTTGAAAATGGCTTGATACCCCATAATCAAGCAAAAACCAATCAATTTGTGTAATGGCTAACTGAATATAGAATACAGAGGCAGTAGGAACTTGATGGAAGAAGCCAAAGGTAATGTTTCTTGTTGTCTTCCTGTGCTGCATCCTGTTGAATTAGTTGCTTCTTAACAGTCAGTAGAAGAGCCGGTTAGAATTAGCGCTCCTGTACAACTAAGCAAATGTCACTCTTTTTCACTCGGTTTAATATTTGTTTTTACATGGATAAACAAATCAGGTGTCACTTAGATGCTTTACCTTTGCATTCCCTGACCTGAACATATTAGAGGGAGCAGATGGGATGTTGTTGCCTAAGGAATTTGGAGGGCACCAGGTTGTCTACTTGTGTGTTAAAGTGCAAGATAAGAAGGGTTCAGCAAAGAATCTGGAGTCAAAAACTATCAATCTGACATAGGCAATAGGCAAAAGTGTGGTCAAGGTCTGCTCCATGAATTAAGACACAGAGCTCAAGGTCAACAAGTCATCCCAGTCACAATCATGTATTTTCAAATAGATTCTTCTGGTGGAAGACACTGTTCCAAACAAACATATCTTTGCTTCCTTGCCTCTGGCTTTTGACATAGTAGGGTCAGTATTTTTAAGGGCTTGAAGGAGGGGATATGTGTTATCAGGATCAGAACCGGAGACAAGGTAGCAGAGTTCCATCAAGATTTCATTACTAGATATTAGCAGCACTGGATCAGAATTCATTCAGATGATGGGCCATGGCACTGCATTTTTAGACAACAATGGTTCCAGCATGTAGGAACATCTATTTCAACCCTGGCTGGGCTTTGAAACTGGTAGGTATAACCCTGAATAGTATTTGGATGGGTGAACTCACACACATGGCTTCAGCAAAGAATGCAACAGATTTCCCATGATATTCTGCTGAAAACAGAAAAATGCAGACTGCACTATGCTAACATTAGATAGGTACAGATGTTGAAAAACCTGATCCCACAAGTTCATGTTAGTGATTTTATATCATGCTAGTGGAAAATTTGAAGGGATATACTCCAAGGCTCTACTCTAGGTGTCATGTTGTTCAACATATTTATAAACAAGTTGGTTGTATTCTTTGATTCTGTGCCACTTTTACCTAGATGCAGAGGTGGTATTCGGCAGGTTCTGGAGAATTGGTAGCGGAAATTCTGAGTAGTTTGCAGAAACGGCAAATATCATCTCTGACTGGA